CCCCCAAGCGCTGTCGTTACCGTAGCCAATCAAGCGGGACTTTCGCTACGCTACGCAAGACCGCTTAGATGGCACAAGACCGTGCTCGATCGGTGGGTACTTTCAGTAGACCGCCGTAGCGCGGTACACCGTTTTAGAACTAAACCAGCACCTGAAACTTTTACAACACCTAAAACTGATCCTTGACCCAAAAAACGAAAACTGACCTTTGACACTAAAAACTGAAATTGACCTTTGACCCCAAACTAAAACTGACCTTTGACCCTTAAACTGAAACTGACTGACTTACTTACTCACTACCCGTTACGCCATCTGGCGTTTAGAGCAACAACAAAGGATCTCTAGCTCTGTCTGTTTTGGGCCATCTTGGTCAACGTCCCCCATGAATGGTTCCAGGACTTCATTTTAGACTCTACTGTGCGTCTCTAAGTCACTTTGGGTCTGCCCCTAACCTTTGACCCTTAAACTGAAACTGACATTTGACCCTAAACTGACCCTTGACCCTAACACTAAAACTGTCCTTTGACCTCAAAACTAACACTGACCTTTGACCTCCTGTTTGATGCCATGGCAGGACACGCAGCACTTCCGCCGGTAGAACTCGTCGTAACACTTCCAAGGCTCCAGGCGCACCAAGTCCTCACAGGTCATCTGCTCGTGCACCAGGTCAGGCTGGTCGCCTTGTGGGCAGAAGTCTGCAGGGAGACACACAGCCACAGGATGGACATGAGGTGCAGGATTATGATTGCAGTTGAAGAAGGGGTTGAATGAAACACAGGATACCGAGTAAGTCCATTTGATTTTGGAAAATATTTATTACTAGTCCTTAACTTAAAACAGCACATGTGTCTGTAGAATATCCTTTTATGAATTTATGAGTTTGCAAATAATCGAGAGAAATTTTAAAAATACAGTGTGAGAAAAGTTTTAAGTATAAGTATACGCTTAAAAACCCCAAACAAACGAACAAGTCAAGACACACAGCTCAAGTACACATACATTATACATGTGATTTGTAATAAATAGTAATAGAATCTACAGACGGGTTCTCACCTTTCTTGGCCGGATTTTTCAATTTCTCGCAAGAGGCACAACAGGTCTGGTTGTTGAGGTAGCAGTCGTACGGGTAACTGATCTCCTCTCCCTTGCACCAGTCCTCTTTGTCTCCGTACTCGCAGCCTGGTGGGCCAGTGGTGAAAGGTGGGCGTGGTGGTGTGAGTTTGAGGTTGAGACGGATTATAAAAAATAATGCTTATTGCTTATGTTACTTGCATTTCGTCATCAACGCAGATAAACACGCTAAAGCGCGCAAATTTTTCGTCACCAACTTTGACACACACACACACACACACACACACACA